GAAGTTTAAAGTGAGAGAAAGATAGAACATCAAAAAGATAATCAGATACTTAGTTGGTTCAATGCTGACTTTTAAATGTAATTTTTGAATGGTTTTAATTACGTAAATTTATAATATTTAACCGACTTCAAATAAGGCGGAGGTTCTCAATTTGACTGTATTTTTTAATGTATGTTACCCGATAACTCCGGTGGCATTTGTAAACCGATTTTGCTGATTAATTTTTTGTTGGAAAGACGTTACCTCAGCATTTGTCCTATTTAAATTTGAAGAAAACATTCCACCTCTAAGGGTAGCAAACTAGGGGATGAATTCGGTTTCGCGCACTCTCCGGTAACCGATTTAAATAAAACTTGGCAAATAGAATTAGTGCTTTTGAGGTCGGTTTTTTTTTATATAAAACATATTATTTTCAATAAAATTGTATTAATATTTGAAAACGATTGGTACCTAATCCTGTGGTTACTAAATAGTTTAAGATAAGGAAATCGATCTTCTGACGTCACCTAGCCGCCAATTTAAATATTGTTGCCTAGTAAATAGAAATCAGATTCGCCATTAATGTATAGGCGTGGTAGTTGGGCGGAGAATTTTCGCCTCGTGTAACTGGGCGCTAAAGGTCTCATGATCACGGTTGTTTGAAAAACAAATGAACTCGATTTACGTATCCGAGAAAATCCAATAAACCGAACTCATCCTCTGATCTACCACAAGAACATTTTGTTCAAAATTTAAGTGGACCGCCACACTCCTTTCTAACAAAAAAAAAACATAGAAATCGGTTCACAAATGTCGGAATAATCGCGTAACACAAAAAAATACAGTCGAAATGAGAACGTCCTCCATTTTAAAGTCGGTTAAAAATAGTTTTATTTCCAATGTGTAACAATCGCGAAACTTTATGATCTCAAAAAATTGTACATTAATTATTTTTTATGGACAACACACGGTTGCATAAAAATGTAAAAAATAACAAAGAATATTTTCCCTAATATAAGGCACTTTCCCTGTATCTACGAATGTTTATTAACACTCTATAAAAGTTAACGTTGAACCACTTCAAGACAAAGAGCGACCAAGACATTTACAATTAAACCTTAGTATAATCTGTTTTTTAGTCATGAACTATTTTTAAGAAAAATAATATGAAACAAAACATAATACACAAAATGAAAATTAAAAACATGAAATTTTATTAATGTAATTATTAATATAAAGATCGAACACTTAGAAAAAAATCTGGATTTGAACGAACGTCTTCTAGCGTCTTTCGAGTTTAAAAGTAGATTTTTCACAAAACAAATTTTTCAAAATCTGTAAGGACCGCTAGTTCGTTCCGTGTACGGCAGTTGTCATAGCGTTTGACACGGTTTGCTAGAAGACCTTGGTTAGAATTCTGCCGGATCGAAGTTTTTTTTCTAAGTGTTCGATGTTTGTATTAATAATTATAACAAACTAGTGGAGTAATTTCAAATATTTTGGTCGCGTGTACACTTAGTAATGACTTGGCACATAGTATTTTAATGGCAAATTTATCTTATGTTACTGTACCTGTGCTCGCGATTTCATAAGTTCGTACAGATCCTATATTCTGGTGAAATTGGATGTAGAATAAATGTCAATAAACAAAAACATCGACCCTGTAGGGCTAGCACGGCGGTGCGCGACTTGCGCGAGAGCGACATAAAGCGCGAGATCTCTATGCGAGAATAGCAGTATCTCGCGGTTTATGTCGCTCTCGCGCTAGTCGCGCCCTGTCGTGCCCTTCTGGAAAGGAAAACTCTAATGTGCATTTGGAAAATATTGCGGGAGAGCGATTAAAGTAACTATATTTAGGGGGAAAAAATATATCATAACTCTAATTTTATTTGTTATAATTGAAAAGCTGAAACTAGTCTAGTTTTCCATATAACAAATGAAATTACAGTTATGATATATTTTTTTGTTTAAAACGTTACTTTAAATCGCTCTCCTATAATAATTTCCAAATGCACTTTAGTTGTTCATAAAAAAATCGTCTTTATTTGACATGCTAAATACCTTTCCAAATCCCTAAAAATCATATTATTATCACCTGAGACTGTCTAATAATTTTTATTTTTTGTTAATATATCAATATCATTTTACAATTACCACTATTTCAATATTTTCCCCCGAAATTAAATTACTCTATGAATAATACAAGTCCGAAATAACAGATCCGGAAAAAAACCAATTTCATTTCCAATGTGTAGCAGTCGTGAAGACCTAAAACCCGATGCTCCCATAATTTAAAATTTTAAAAATAATATATCTTTAATTAGACCACTACATACCATGTGTCAAATCAAAAGAAAAATATTAGGTAAGAGAAGATTTTATTAATATGACGACTTTTCCATTACACAAATAAATGATATATTAAACATAAACACATAGAGAACGGGTACGGGTCGGGCGCGGGTCGGGCGTGAGTCGGGCGTGAGTCGGGTGCGGGTCGTGTCGGGACCGCAGCGGGACTTATTCCATGTATTTATATAGACGACAACACACCGAGCGCGGGCGCAAGAACGTCAACATCATTAATTTAAATTAATACATCTACCGACTAAAGCATATAAGTAAAATGCATTTGTTACTTCATTAATTTGTAACTTAAAGTTAGTGGCGGTTTTTTCATATTTATCATTCTCTTCACATCTGCCAACATCATAAACAAAGCCGAAAAATATACTAAGGACAAAAATTAAAGCACTGTTTTGACTTATGAACTTTAGTCCGCCGACCCTAGAATTATCAATGATAAATATCACTTCGAAATCTGGACCCCGATTAAGAACTCTTGGATATTTTAACCGAATCGTTCGATTGAATGTCGTTCTCGAATCGAAGGGCGCTTCAAGAGTTATTCAGAATATTCTGTGTTAAACGTTCAATTCGGATTCTATTTTTATTTTATATTCTTTTATATACATTTTTAAGGGTGGTATTCCAGAACTCTACTCAATGCTCAAGTCAGGACTTGAGTATGACTTCAAGCACTGGAAATACGTCCCTAATGGCAAGGACTTGAGTATGATTTGACTTTAAGGGCGCATTAATTCGTCACGAATTTCATCGCGCTCACCCCGCGCGGTCGCCGAGCGGAATCCGCGTGCGTCTAACGGTCAAAGTTTACGTTTTAACTTAAATGAGCAACCCGGGCACGCGGGCGAGCCTGACTTGAATTTGGTCTGGTTTATATTATTTAGAGGAACTCAAATGTTGTTGCCTAGTAACTAGAATTCAGATTAGCCATGAATGTACACGAAGGCGTGGTAACTGGGCGGTCGCCGCGCGGCGGCCGCGCAAAACTATCTCCTCGTGTAACTGGGCGCTCAAGGCCTAAAATATAGGAATGCATTAGTCTTGCATTAAAATAAATTCATAAAATTAAAGAAAATCTTGACTTTATTCAAAATTATAAAAGATTTCTATTACATTCTTGCTTTATAAACAATAAGGGCGAGGCCAGACGAGCGTCATTTTGAGAGTTGTGAGTTGCGCAGTTTGTGCTCGACCGAAACTCAGTAGGAGTACCAGACAAATGTATTTTATTCAGTTGCTTTTAAGTGTTTATACTAAAGTGAACCCCTTCCCTCACACGCGCCAGCCCGTCTCTCGATACGACCGAAAGTCAGTCGTCATTACGCCCGTGAGTCGGCAGGTAACTCATTATGCGTCGTCGTGTGAAACAAACCGTACTTTTATATGAAATCGAATGCAGCTCAAACTACGCGACTAACAACTCACAAAATTACGCTCGTCTGACCTCACACTAAGACGTTCGGCAACTTTCATTCGATAACTGTGTTCTGAATAACGTTTGTAGCCTTTGCCGGTCGAGAAGTTCGAGTAATCGTACGGGTGTGACGTCATTTCGGTTCGGTTTCGAATACGACAGTTTGACGTTCGATTCGGGTGTTGTGAATTAAAATGAAAAGAAATCGGTCGACAACTGAGTTATCGTAAAGTTCTGCATCGACCCACCCGGTTTGAATACACGTAAAAGAAAAATAATTCTCCATATCATACCGCCATTTTAAAGGTACCGTAACTTTAAAATATGTAACAGAAAAGTCGTCATAAAACAGGTTTAGGGTTCAAAATGTGTTGTGAAAAATACATATAGCTCAGTTAATTAAATGGAGCCATTAATAATTCAAAAAACATAACCCCAATTCGACGTCCACGTTTATTTTAATATAAACGTGGACAAATATCGGAGCTAAAGAGCACGTCGCTTCACTAAAATTAAAAAATAAAACAGTCCAGAAAGTATTGCATTTTTTGTCCAAGGTCAATAATCACGGAACTTCGGAGGCATGCATATCGCACCCCTCATGGGAAAAATGGCATAAGTGGAGTTACGTCAAAAACGGTTATTGCTCCATTAGATAAAGAAAAATATAACCCACATCGTCTCCAATTCTAGTGAATCTATCTACAATATTAGTCGATAGAGCTACAAAAATTGGAGAGCATGTGGGTTGTATTTTTCTGTATCTAATAGAGCAATAAACTTGTTTAATGTAACTCGCCTATGCCATTCTTCCAGGAGGGGTGCGATATGTCAAAAGTTAAATAAATGGTTGGATGGAGTATAATTGTTTAAACAGATGAGTTAAATAAGAAAGTAGTTCATTAGGAATTTAGGATGGAAGCCAGATGAGGCTGTGCATCTCTAAGTTGCTGTTAAAGGTCCTAAATCGACAGATGGCTCGTTAAATACTAAATTAATTGCTTACTTATACGCACAGGTAAAGAAACAACCGGAAAGTAGGGTGCAAAAGAAGCATTAATTAAAATGAGACAACCTGCAAGAGCTAAAAGGGTGATCTACCACGGATTTTTGCCATTTTATGTGTGTGTTATTTTTAGAAAACCTATTTCGTCTTCTATATGCATGAACTTTGTTTATTATTATAACCATAAATCACAACACATTTCTTCCCAAACGATGTAAAAAAACCGAAACCTACCTTTTGATACTTTAGTCTTCGGCTTGTCGTCAACCTTCTTTTTCTTTTCTGTGGTGGACTTCTTGGGTCTTCCGCGCTTGCCTTTCTTTACTTGAGGCTCCGACGCTGATGGTTCCGTGGGCAGTTTTAGAGGGAGGTCTAGAAAGAAAGAAGACCACGATTGGATTGGGGATGTGCATGCATGCATTTTTGGTAGCAGAAGAGCTCCTACTACTTCCCGTTTTGAAAGGTAAGGGTGCTGGTTAAATTACAGGCATATGGGACTTGTCAACTTATGTCTCAGGGTGACGGGCGCAGTGGCAGAAGTCAGATCTTTGCAATTTAAAGCTCTGAGTGGCACTTTAACTGTTATGGACAGGCATGTACCTTACCATCAGGCGCACGACTTGTTCGTCTTGTCACTTGATGTCATATAAAAAAAAGAGATAAGACGGAAGATATTTTCAGAGTTACTGTAGTACAGAGGTTAGCAGTACTCTCGAGCTGTTGGACTGTGGTCGTATGACGTATAATTCCTAAATATAATTCGTTATAAGGTTAGACCCGGTTGTTATTATTATTTCTAAACCCATCAAACACCTGAAACCGACACGTGTAAACCACTACGTTTATTTATTGATAAATCATTTGTTTTTTTGTCCCAAGATGAAGGGCGCAGCGGCGGTGCACCTAAGATCTTTGCTATTTGAAACTTCAAGTGGCACTGTAAATTCCAGGCCAGACCGCGAACCAAGCTAAGGCTCGTATTCCAGAACTCTACTCAATGCTCAAGTCAGGAGTTGAGCATGATTCAAAGCACTAGAAATCATACTCAAGTCCTTGCCATTAGGGTCGTATTTCCAGTGCTTGAAATCATACTCAAGTCTGCTCAAATCCTGACTTGAGCATTGCGTACAGTTCTGGAATACGACCCTTAGTCAAAGTCAATTATACACTAAGACAATAGTCGAGTTGCGGACACCACCCCGTTACACCAAGTACCCAGTAATCTTTATTTCATATGCAAGCAAATTACACTTGATTAAACCCTATTTATTGCTCATTCGTAAGGCAGATCTGAATCCCCTGAGAAGAATGAGCAAGAAACTCTTGCTGTTACTCTTTGTAAATATACATTTGAATACATTTAACATTACAATATTTTATTTAAACATCTTAGATCGAGAATGCCTGAAAGAGCTAAACGGGTCACTACTACCAAGGATTTTTGTCATCCAAGTACGCAGAAGTTTTACAATAACCTTTAGTATAAAGTTTTTGTTTCACAATAGTTTTAAATCTCGTAAGTAGCAAATTTTGAACATCAATCGGAATCTTACACATTGCCTCTTAAATGGATTTAAGACTTTGTGAAGACGACTATCAAGAACAGCTAGTTTATTTTTATTCCTCGTATTAGTGTTATGTCTGTCACTATTATTTATAAAAAAAAAAATATAATTTTCTTAACATGAATAACATTTTCGTAAGCCGCTAATGTAACGCTATGTAAAATATGTCGCCCTTCTGCCGCTCTTCACACGCCTCCATAGTGTAGCACGTCACCACTTAACACGTATTTTCTTAGCTTAGCTGGCATAGCAGGTTGCATGCATCAAGTATACAACCAGAAATAGAGACGAAATGTCATTTAGTTTGTTTGAAAATTATTTCTGCCAAATAATTACGGTGACAACTGCGCTCCGATTGGCCAGCCCGAATCCGAAACAATTGACGGGTGTCGTCAATTGTTTCACTTCAAAAATCCAATTTAACTTGAGCTTCGCTATAATGGACGCAAATTGACAAATTACATATTTAATTACCGATGAAACGTGATTCCGTTTGTTTTGCAATTAGATGTTTTGCTGTTTTCCCCACAGCACCGAATGGAACAGCCCCCCATAGTTAGAGATATTATCTTTATTACAACAAATATAGAATATTTTTTGAATATACGGAGACATACATAAAGTTCAGTTGGTAGCGCTGTACTATTTCAGCTTTCTAATTTTTGTAATTTAAGCGCAAACAGAGTTAATATTTAAAAGCGATATAAGCCCCATTTGCCTGATGAGTTGTCAGGGATGGATGGCCTTTATTTCGTCTCTATTTCTCGTTATATTAGGGGTTAAAGTATGAAATTGCCGTTTTATTGCAATAGGTTCTTTGAATTTTCATAGAATCTTCATGGTTTGAGGTTTTCGAATGAAACTTTTTTCAAATGGTTTCTGTGATTTTTTTTTTTTTTAAATTTGAAACATTTGAATATCGACTTTCAATTGTTTTTGTTATTCAATTTAGACAAGAAAGATGGATACTGCGAAAATTCGAGTGATTTTTGAATACGAGTTCCGACGCGGAACTAACGCGGCAGAAACAGACCGCAATATCAATGCTGCGTTTAGAGAGGGGTCTACTAATGAACGCACCGTGCGATTTTGGTTTAAACGCTTTCGTGATGGAAATTTCGACTTAAAGAACGAGGCACGAGGAAGACCGCCCACACAGGTGAATAACGATGAATTAAGAGAGATAGTGGAAGCCGATCCTAGTCAAACTACCCAGGAATTAGCGGCATGGTTTAACGTTACCTTACCCACAATATTGACTCACTTGCGTCAAATCAATAAAATAAAAAAATACGAAAAATGGGTGCCTCATGATTTGACTGATCTGCAGAAAGAAACGCGTGTTGAAACTTGTGTTGCCTTGTTGAACCGGTACAGAAATGAAGGAATATTGGATCGAATTGTAACATGTGATGAAAAGTGGATTCTTTATGATAACCGGAAAAGAAAAATGCAATGGCTGACCCCAGGTCAAATGCCACAACAGTGTCCTAAAGCAAAACTTACCAATAAAAAGGTAATGGTAACTGTTTGGTGGTCTCAGCATGGTGTTATTCACTATAGTTTTCTCCGATCTGGTCAAGCAATAACGGCAGATGTCTATTGTGCCGAACTCCGAACCATGTTGACAAAACTAGCAGTAAAACAGCCCCGACTCATGAATCGATCTTCACCATTATTGCTCCACGACAACGCGAGACCTCACACAGCACGAGAAACCATTTTGACCCTTCAGGAACTGCAGTTAGAAACCATTCGTCATCCTCCGTATTCACCAGACCTTGCTCCAACGGACTACCATTTTTTTCGTGATTTGGACAATTATCTACGCGACAAGAAGTTTTCTTCCCAGGAGGCAGTACAAAATGCTTTCACACAGTTTGTGCAGTCTAGATCGTCGGAGTTCTATCGCAAAGGCATTAATAACCTTCCCATTAGATGGCAGCAATGTATAGATAATAATGGCAACTATTTTGATTAAATAAATTTGTTAAAAATTTAAAAAAAAAAAAAAAAAAAATTTCAGTACAAATCGGCAATTTCATACTTTAACCCCTATTATGCACGATGGTTGCATGCAACTACGTGAGCTAAGTTAGATTAGCTTCTGTCAAGAATAGTAGCGTCGCTTACTACTAGGCCCAATTTATTAAAAAATTTATATATATAAACAAATTTATATATATGGATGAACAAGTCATGTGCCTGGTAGTAAGCGACACGCCTGCCCACAACAGTTGTAGTGTTACTCAGAGCTTTAAATCACACAGATCAGGGGGCACTGCCACTTCACGCACACATTTGCGCGTGTGCAGATAGCGCCTTACTGTATGTAGTAGGTAACTAACTTTCGACCGTTGTATGGAATGTCCGGGGTGTGCTTTGGGATCAAATCAACTATGTGATGTTGTCCATTAATTATTTAATTTATTTACGCCATACACACAACAGTGGTAAGCCTTATTAAATAACGAAATAAGTAGATAATTCTAAAAATATTTTACTTACCGTCTGTATCATCGAAGTCTATGTCCTCTAGATACTCTACTTCGGCTTCTACGCCTTCAATGTTCTGCTCGAGTAACGCCTCTGCCTTCATTGAAGGTTGTGCGGCTTGATAGATTAATACTGGAAAAAAATAACCAAGCGATGAGGTGTGAAAGGGACAGACGAATGATTACATCACAGGGGTTTTTGTATTCGGGCTTCCGCAATTTTTTTTAACGCATGTTATAGGGAAATCCAGTATCGCGGGTGCCATTGACACTCACATACACAGCCACAAATGAAACCTAAACTCACGAGAAATAAATGTAGGCCATACAAATATTTCTCGTAATCGAACCCGAAACTTAGCAATAGAGCTCCTTGTGAAAGAGTTTGTCCATGGGAAGTACTGCCACCTTACCTATTTCTGCCGTCAAGCAGTAATATGAGCATTACTGTGTTCCGGTTTAGAGGGGTAAGGGTAAAGGTGAAATTACAGCACAAGGGTCAACTTATGTCTCAGAACTTGTGTACAATTGTGTAACGTGCAAACTATAGTCTAGCCAAGTTCAACATAGAATGTTTAATAACAAAACGTTGCTAGACAACTCACTGGTTGTCATGGCGTGGACAAAAAATGTCCTCAGAACATTTTCTGTCCATGCTCATTATTTAGGCTTACTCTACCCACAGTCAGCTCGCGTAATTGCAATTTTAAATACTAGTAGTAAGCAGGTAATTTAGGTCATGTAGAAATAATACTTCACCTAGCCAATTAGCACAAAGTTTGCAAAGTGTACCATTGATGTGTATGATTTAAGGATAAAGTTTGTTGCAGAAATAGGTTAGGTGGCGGTATTTCCCATGGACACTGTACTGCACAGTACTGCACTTTTTAGTAGCAGTCTTGTAAAAGTTTTCGCCACAGGGTAGATAGATAGAACACTTTATTCCTCCCACACAGGAACAAAAACAGTACGTAGACAGCTCAAAACTAATGTGGGCAAAGGCAGGCAGGGTGGGTAATACTGCCACCTTATGTACTTATTTCTGCCGCCAAGCAGTAATGTCAGTATTATTTTGTTCCGGTTTCGAAGGGGAAGGGTGCTGGTGAAATTACAGGCACATGGGACTTGTCAAATAATATCTCAGGATGATGGGCGCAGTGGTAGTACTCCTCGGATCTTTGCAATTTAAAGATCTGAGTGGAACTGTAACTGTTGTGGACAGGCGTGTAGCTTACCATCAGGCGTACGACTTGTTCGTCCTGTCACTTGACATAAAAAAAATCTTTGGAAGACCTTATGCAGGTGTGTAAAAATTAATTACCTTTAGGTCTAAATTTCCCCTTGGCCAGCATATCAACAAATCTTTTCTCAGAATCAAGGACTTGTTTCTTGAAATTACAAGCGTCGCGTAGACGCGTAATGCAGACTTCGCAGATGAGGCGGTTCTGGCCGTTGGGGCCATCACTGTGTTGTGATATCTGTGGAAGACAATGTACTGATGAATGTTTTCCAGGCACCTCCTCATCTAGCAGAGGGAAATTTTTTCAGTTTTTTTAACGTCTCTTTTCACCTACCTACCTGGCTGAGTGAAGAAATAGATTCCTCAAATGATGTTAAAATAATAAAAAATCAACCTTAAAAGTGATTCATCCCCTAGTTTGCCACCCTTAGAGGTGGCATATTTCTTTCAAATTTAAATGGAACCACTACTGAGGTATCCTCTTTCCAACAAAAAAATAATCAACAAAAGTTGCTCAAAAATGCTGGAGTTATCGCCATCACGTAACATTCATACAAAAAACATACAGTCGAATTAGATCCTCCGCCTTTTTTAATGTCGGTTAAAAAACCAAAACAAAGATCAGCAACAAGCACATAGAAAAATTTGTGAGGTTCGCTAGTTCATTCCGTGGCTTAGTTGGCATAGCATCTGGCACAGTTTGCAAGCAGATGCTGGTTTGAATTTATATTAAATTGTTAGACCATATGCAACCAAGTGTATAGTATAACAATCTTAAACGTAGATTATAAAATTTATTTTTTTTCCAACTAAATACCAAAATATATACCAGGTATTTAAGAATTATGTATAAGAAAAATAAACTAGTGTTCACAAAGACAATATAACAACTTCAACTTCTTTATTAAGATTCCAATTGATATTCCATCATTGCCATTTACAAGGTGCAAAACTATTGTGAAACAAAAATTTTACACTTAAAGTTATTAAAAAGAAACACATTATAATCCATGGTAGTGACCTATATTAACTCTTTTACGTTGATATTTGAAATCAATGGATAATGACTTTTTATTTATTTTATTTATTTATTTATTTATTTATTTATTTTAAATAAGTTCCAGTGTAGAGGTTCAGTGCAATCTGGAGTGAGCTCTGGTACTCGCATTATCCATATAAGCAGAAGCGCTATTTGCAATCTGTACTACTAAGGAGACCTAGGGTCGTATTCTAGAACTCTACTCAATACTCAAGTCAGGACTTGAGTATTGCAGTGAGCACTGAAAATCATACTCAAATCCTTGCCATTAAGGTCGTATTTCCAGTGCTTGAAATCATACTCAAGTCTGCTCAAATCCTGACTTGAGCATTGAGTAGAGTTCTGGAATACGACCCCTAGAGTATTTCTCATAGTAAGCATCATTAAAGACAATAGGGGACCGAAGGGGAAAGATGTTGAGCATCTGATACAAGACTACAGATGTCTTAGCATATTAGTAAAGAAAATGGTCAAACTGAAGCGATGGGGGCACTATGGAAACAAGACCTTTTGAAACTTTTTAAAATTTAAAAAAAAATAGAAAGTAAATAGAAAATTTTCCCGCCAATTTTCTCGTTAATTATCGGCCTTAGATGAAAAATTATGAAAATAAAAAATGTTTACTTAGATCTATTCTACTTGAAACAAGCATTAAAAATAAATAACAAATTTTTAAAAATGATTAAAATTTTCTAAATCCCCTTTCTATAGTGCCCCCTTTTGTTAAGTTCAACCAAGAAAATGTGAAGAAAGGAGACATGGGAAGAAGTAGCCTTCAGAAGTTATCGTCACACATTAGAAACTCAATAGTTACGGCGCTGAACAGAAGCGGTGGTTGGCAATTACAATAAGAGAAGGTAGGTACAACATATCAGGTAAAGAAAGAAAAATGAAACAACTTACGCTAATATCAAAGCATTCTAACAGCATATCTGCATAAACTTCGCGTTCTGACATCCACGTATAATCAGTGCCCATATCTTTATAACAACCTTCGGAGAGACAGCACCGGCAGAGCCCGGGGCTCTCCTTCACAACGATCTCGTCGAAATTCATCATTTTGTCACTCTTTCATCACACAAACTAAAACTAATACGAAAATAAATTGGGAAATACGCGAGCTAACGCCGCTTCGGCAGCGCCATTTTGCTTTCTCCCCCTCCCTCCTCTCCGTTCGCAAGCGGTCGATAAGTTTTATGGACCATTTCAGACAGCCCGATTGTACGTATTTGTAAGTTGAATCATTAATGTTCAAAAGAAAATACAAAATTTGATGATTTTTATCTCACTTGTTTTTTAAGAAAAATTAGTGAATAAATCTGATTCTTATGTTTGAATGCATGCTAACAGAAAAACCGTAATGGATATTATATCAGTAGAGTTGAGGTACAAATTAGAAAATATAGCATTTATGTTCACACTTAAAGCGATTTTTAACTGCCATACAAACGCGGGATTGAATTAGCGATGGGCGAGTCGAGTTATTTAACTCGGTTAACTCGAGTTACTCCTATAACGAGTCAACTCGAGTTACTTTTTCATGAACTCGAGTTAACTCGGTTGACCCACCCCGCCCGCCGCCGAACCCAATACTTCATTCATAAAACGCGTCGGTGACCGTCAGAGCACGCTAGAGTCGCGAGTCGAGTTATTTAACTCGAGTTACTACCACAACGAGTTAACTCGAGCTACACGTTGTGAACTCGAGCTAGCTCGGCCGGTTCGGTCACGATCGCCTATCGTGTCCAACTCGTCGGTTCGAGTTCTATTCGCGACTTGCGATTGCTCTGTCAAACACCGAGTCGAGTTAATTCGAGTTAGCAGTCAAGTCAACTCGAGTAACTAGAGTTGAAAGAAATACAACTCGCCCTATTGCCAGATTAAATCGTGACACTTGCGATTTGTAGGCGGTTGCAACGACGCAATTTTTAATTAAGTTGAGTGTAGATGATTAGCGACTGAATCACAAATTAGAAAGATGTTGGCTTGAATCGGTGCCACGCGATACTCTACTCAATGCTCAAGTTAGAATTGCACTGGAAACACAAGCACTGGAAATACGACCCTAATGGCAGGGACTTGAGTATGATTTTGAGTTGAGAGAGTGATGGTTTAAAACCATACTCAAATCCTGACTTGAGCATTGAGTAGATTTCTAGAATATGACCCTAAGGGTCGTATTCTAGAACTCTACTCAATGCTCAAGTCAGGATTTGAGCAGACTTGAGTATGATTTCAAGCACTGGAAATACGACCCTAATGGCAAGGATTTGAGTATGATTTTCAGTGCTCACTGCAATACTCAAGTCCTGACTTAGACTCATTCAGTTATTGCTTTCTTCGTTTATTTAGTGCAGAGTAATATAAAATACAGATTTATTATATCAATATAATGAGACGCCATCGCCATAACTTCGTGAGTTAGTAAATAAAGGTTATAGAATTTTCAATTTGTATTGCCGATAAATATCACGTATTGAATATACCCAATTATTAACTAGGTAATGATAAACTTGGACACGCAATTTCAAATACATTGGTTACCTTATTTAAAACCTGTCCAAAATACAATCTTTTAAGTGCTGTTAATATACTTTTAAAATAAATCTTCAATATTATTCTAGTTAGTGAATTAATGAAAAATATAGTAATATAATGTAATAATTATATCGATATAAATATCTAATGAACATGTGTAATTATTAGAAATCTATTAATAGAATTAGAGATAACAGATTTGCCACTCTGACCTCGTAACGTAAATTGTACGAGAAAGTGATGGGTAACCCTGTCACTTCAGGCACATGTTTGCACGTGTGCAGATAGCGCTTTGCTGTAGTAGTAGTAGGTAAATAACTTTCGACTGTTGTATGTAGTGTCCGGGGTGTGGTAGAGTTCTGGAATACGACCCTAAAAGTGAAAAGTTGCCGTGTGTAATAGCGCTCTTATTATTAGCGGCCTCTAGTGGTGAGTAGCTAAATATTTTAGTGTAAAGACTTTTCTGTCTACGCAGATTACTCCGTGAAAGTAAATAAATATCACACTTTTAATTCAGAATCGTTTTCTAATTAGAATGGAACGTAACTGTCAAATAAAAATAAAATACGAATTAGGATTCTGAGGTGATTGTGATCTATTTTGTTCAGATTTTTGCCTTTGGTCTTTTTTGTTTTACGTGCAATAATTTTAATACCTATTTATTAATTAAAAATACATTGCCCAACATTAATCTACAATACAAACAATGGACTTGGCGGCAACTTGCCGTTGTTGCCTCTCCATAGGCAACCACAAGGATTTGAATACTACTTATTTCTGGCTGGACAAAAAAGAAATTTACGG